AAATATACAAACAAGAACTTTTAAATAATTAATTTGATACTAATATTGATATATTTTTTGTAAATTTTATATGATATTTTTAAAATTTATATTTTATTCAAAAATAGAAACATTATCTATTTTTCAAAACTACATAAAATCGTATCATATAGACATGGATAAAAAATAAAACAAAAAATCGAAATAAAAATATGTCTCAATTCATTACACAAGTACCCTTTTAGTATACAAAAATGATTGAATTACATTGATGTTAAATGTTAACACATTATTTTAATATATAATATAAAAAGATTTATTATTTAATTTTGGGATAAGCAAAGTGGTTTCATGACTCGATTTCAAGCTATATATATTTTAATTTATTTTTGGCTTTATTTTATTCAAATAGAACTTGATTGTTTTCGAATAACTAATATCTTTTTAAGAACTTTATTTAGAGTTAAAGAATAAAATTCAATATCTAAAAAAGGAAATATATTTAAATTCTAAATTATTTTAATAATAATTATCTATACTATATTATAAAGCATTTGACAAAAACTATTAAAAACAACTTTTTATGCATCAAGTATTGTTTATTGATATATATTACTTAAAATTTAAGATTACGACTAAATTATGCGTAAGTACAATTTATTAAAGCTTAATGTTTGAATTCGTGTAACTAACTGCAGATAAACATCTCATTTTAAATATAAAAAATCTAAAATATAATTAGGATAATCATTAAGTTATAACAAAATACTTAATTATTATCTTCATAAAAAATTATATTATCAAACTAAAAATAATGAATTAAAGAAATACACACAAAAAAATTAAATAATTAGTTTGGTACTATTATCAATAATTTTTTTTTTCAATTGTTTATGATATATATTCATATTTATATTTTATTCAAAAATAAAAATATTWTCACTTTCTCAAAACCACATAAAACTGTATAACATCGCTGAGACAAAAAAAAAATGAAACAATAAAATCGAGATATATCTCGCTGCATTGTGCGAGTACCATTCTAGTATTATTAAAATGTTTCATACACTTAGGGGCTGTTTGTCAGTTGCTGACTGGTTTGGTGTAGAATGATTAAGTGGTCATAATGATTATGAGGCTTTCATGATATAGTGAAAAATGAAATATAATTGTTTGGTAATTGTTTACATTGAATTTAGGATGCTGAATGGTTGAGGGAGACTCATGATACAAAATCATTTAAAACCATTAAGAGACAATTTTTTTTTACCAAACAAGATTTACCTCTTAATGATTCAGATATTGTCTCTTAATGAAACTATTAAGAGGTAAGCAAACAACCCCTTAATAAACCATATAATTTCCAAAAATATTATTCGTTTAAAATTTTAATAAATATTTCTTATGATAATTATTTTTTAGGAATTCTTTAAATTTAAATAATTTTTAATGTCTCATACTTTCTTAATTTTAAAATATTTTGAAGAATACGGTGAAGCAAAATCCAGTATATTTTCTTTATATCTAAGAAACCGTTGAAAATGCTTTGTAAAAATCTCCAAACCACAAGAGAGGTTGCCTGATTGGTCTGAACTTAGACTCCAAAGGTCAAAAGTGTTTGGAGGTCTCATGTTCAAATCCAAGTGGGAATAAAAATCCCCTTGTAGCCACGGAGGTTCAAATGCGGTGACTTCGGGATACTCGCAAAACGGATGATTGCACTGAGATTAGT